CGATAAACAAGGGACTAATGGACGTCCGAAAACATTATATAGTGATTTTTAAGAAGGCGGATTTTATAAAATATCCTTTCCGACCATCGGCCCTCCAAGTGTTTCATTTTAATATTTTTGCACAATTTTTAAAACATAATGTTTAAGGAATAAAGGCTTTCCAATCGTTATTTTTTTAGGGATAAAAAGCATTCCTGGTTTTTTAGGAATATTTTCAAAAGACTTACACTCTGTCAAACTGATTTTTTAAGAATATTTTATAAGGACCAAAAGTTGTAAAAACTTACATTTCTAACGAATATTTTTGCATGTTTATCAAACCCTTAAAATTAATATATTAAATTTTTTTCCTTTAAGGCCTCGAGGATTATCCTCTGAATGTAAATTTTAGGGATTTTTATCCGGATCTATCGTCCCTAAGAACTAGGATTTGTTAGTATAATTCCATGGACAACCAGCTCTCCAAACCATAATTTATAGGGAAATCTATTTGAAACCAACATCCTTACGAATGTGGACAATTCTCCATATAATTTCAAAGATCATTAGCACTTCATACAAAGATTTTGAAAAATATTTTATGAGAGCCAGAAGATATTCATATGTGAATTTCAGATAAAATTTTTAAAAAATGAAGTGTATTTGAAAGGATAAAACTTATCAAATGCGGATTTTTTAGAAATATTTTTTCAAAGGACAAACCGCTCTCCGAACATGATTTTTGTGTTCATCTTCACATTTTTGCGGTTTGAAGGATATTTTTGAAGGACATACCATTCATCAATAGTGGATTTTTTTGGGTACAAATGCGCAGTTTTAGGGATATTTTCTGAAGGACATTGAAAATAAAATGCGAATTGTTTGGAAATTTTTTCTCTTCCAATGTAGATTTCTTTAAATTTTTCTGGAAATGATTTTTTTTTTCGAGGGCCAGTAGCTTTTCCAATGTTTATTTTTTTAAATACTGTTTCAAGAGTTAGCAGCATTCTGAGGACTTACTATCCTTGGATTTGTTAAGAATTTGTCTTTAAGAAATTTTTGAAGGATCATGAGCTCCTTAGATACAGTTTTTTTTAATGTATCTCTCTTACAGTACTCCCATCCATTATTTTTAAATATTTTTTCAATGAACAAAAGCTCTTAAAATCGAGGACGTACAGCCCTCCAAATGTGGATTTCTTCCAGAGTATGCTTTTTATTCTTTTATTTATGACAAAATATTTCAAGGGCTTACGCCCTACAAACCTGGATTTTTTACGGAACATTTTTAAGGACCAAGTGGCATCCGAGTGTTGATCTCTTGATAATATTTCAAGAATAAATATTCTTCCAAACATTGATTTTTTAGACATTTTTTTAAGAACACACAACTCCCCAAACCTTGATTTCTCAAGGAAAACAGTCACCCCAAACCGATTTTTTTTAATAATAATGTTTCAGAAGAACAAACAATCCTTTCAACTATGACTCACAATATTTCAAAATCGGATATCTTAGAAATATTTTTGAAGGACCAACAAGGGTCTTCAACTTGGATTTTTGATATCAGGACTATATTATTTACTAAAAATATTTCAAGTACCAACAACCTCCTCACCATATACACTTCAAGGCAAATATTAGAAAGACCAACAGCCCTCCGAATGTGGACTAAACGTCCTCTAAAAGTAATTCTTTAACAAAATATTTGAAGGACAAGCCTGGATTCTTATGGAAGTATTTTTTAAGGATCATGAGTCCTAAAAACCTGGAAAATTCGATTACCTTATTACTCAAACTTGGGCTTTACATTAATTTTTTCAAAGACACACAGTCTTTCAAGGACCAACAGGCTTATAAACGTGAGTTTTTGGAGCTTTCTTTTAAAGACCAACGGCCTTCAAAGTATTTTTAAGACGTTTTTGTTAAGGACCCACAGTCTTTAAAGGGTGCATTTGAAGACTAGCAGGGCCCACATCAACTTTAATGTGGATTTTTACAAAATATTTTTTAGATAATTTTCCTGAGTTTCCTGAGTCCTGTTAAGTTGGATTTTTAAAAAAATTGTATCAGAGACCAACAGTGAATTTTCCAAGATTATACTTTCAAGGAATAAGAGCCCTTCAAAAAAAGTTTAAAAAATTGTTAATAGACAAAAAGTCCCTCCCATTTTTAAAACATTTTTTCAAGGACCCTCAGTCTTTCTAGTATGGACTTCAAAGAGATTTTTGAAAAGCTCACCGTTCTTCAGACGATGATGTTAGGACATTTTTTTAGGGACCGAAAGAGCTTAAAGGGTGCATTTTTGAGGCTAACTCTTTCTAAATGTTTTTAAGATAATTTTTCTGAGTCGCCATAGTATTTTAAGGTTGGATTTCTTAAAGAATAATTAAGAACTGAGAGTGGATTTTTCAAGATGAGTTTTTAAGAAGCCCTTTAAAGAATTATTTTTTTTTACAAAAAAAAAAAAAAAAAAAAAAAAAAAATGTTCAGGGACCCTCAGTCTCTCTGATGTGGGTCAAAAAGACATTTTTTCAAAGACTCACTGTATTTCAGACGGGGATATTATGGATTTTTTGGAGACCAACAGCCTTTTTAAAATGGATTTGAAAGCCAATTTTTCAAAAACCCACGTCCCTTCAAAGAAGAATTTTTGAGACAATTTTTTAGTATCTCAAAGACTACTTTTAAAACAAATTTAATGTCTTACACGGACCACGACTTCTTCAAATTTGGAAAACTTTCAGTGATCATCGGATATATAAAAATAATATACAAAAAAACAATGATGTTAGAGACCATTTTTAAGGATCAAGATAAAATGTTCGTCGATTTTTTTAATTTGGGACCTGTAAAATAAATCGTGTGTTTTTATGAAGACCTTTGGGTGACTTTTTATAAAAAGCAGAAAATCAAAAATATTTTAAAATTATTTTGAAGGCGTAAAGGCTCAATTATCAAATCACTGCATTTTTTTCAAGGACAAACAGATATTTATTTGTGTATTTTTAGAGTATTTATATAATCTATCAAATAGCAAGCCAGAATTTGCAGAAAACATTTTTAAGGACTAATAGACTAATTTTCTAACATATTTTTAATAACCAGCGAATCAAAAATTTCGTAATATTAAGAACATGGTTCCGGGGACCAACATAGGAAATATAAGTTTTTGTCAAGGATCATCGAACAATAATCAAGAAGATTTTTATTTATTTTTTCAAAGATGTCTGATATGTGAAAGTTTTACTCAAATATACCTTCAGTGCCAAATTTACTCTTATTCTATTTCCTTGGTATTTATTTATTTCTTTCCCCGCACATACCATGCCGTATACTCTACGACAACAATCATACGCACCCACTGACCCTGAAAATTAATACAAATATTTATGACGGCATAAAATTTAGTATTTTATTGATTTATTACAAAGGAATGCTTAATTGCGTAAAATTGATGGCAATGGCGTAAGGACACCATATGACCTTCGGAATTAATATTAATATTTGCTTATGAAGAAATGTATGTAACAAGTTCCGCAATTAATTCTCAAAATGTTACTAAAGCAATTAAGGGTATTTTCCGTTGAATATCTTTAAAACTTGTAATTCTTTAGCAATTTTAGTATCTTCATTACAAAAAAACAAGGAAGAACAAAACTCTAAATTACTTTGCATTTTCTGGGACCCGCGGTACATTTAAATACTTTTACAGTTTCCGTATTACCTTATTTCTCGTGAAAACCCAAAAAAAAATGTAAAGAATTTCAATAAATTTCTGATGACAATTTAATGACACGTTAGCGCACCAAGGTAGCGTAACTTGCTCCACGCGGCTGGCCGTGGTTACTTTGTTGTGTTGCATGGTCGTCCACCAGCAAATGAAGTTTGTTGCTTGCCACACATTTCAAAATGTTGGAAAACAAAACAGCAACAACAACAAGAACAAAAAATGTCAACGTAATCATAAACCTTACTTAAAAATCACTTTTGACATTAATATTTCATTTGAATGTGGGCGTTCGTCGTCGGTTTCAGTGGCCATAGTTTGAGGGGGAGGGGCCAGTTTGAGGGCAGGGTGGAGCAGTGGTGAAAGGTGAACACCTTAACCTAATGTTAAAAGTTTGTTTTCCGGCTTTTAAACGGCGATGGAAAAAAATGAGGGTGGCAACGTTAACAACAACGATAAATGACTTTCGAAATGAACTGAGTGACCGACTGGTAGGCTGACCGGTCAAATACCTGGCAGGTGGCACAGTGGGTTCTTTTTTTGAAAAGTAAAACTAATGTGTTTTTATACCCTCCACCATAGTATGGAGGGTATATTAATTTTCTGATTCCGAAATATACATTTTAGACACCACAAAGTATTATATTCATGACCAGCATTAAATTTTATGTAGATTTAGCGATGTCCGTCCGTCTATCCATATGTTCGACTGTGGAAGTCATCTAGCTTCGGAACGAAAAGAAGTAGGTTGATAAAATTTTACTCAAATGTGTATTATGTTTGCAGGACTTTTGGTATTGAAAATGGGTGATGTAGGACCACGTTTTCGTATTGCCCCCATATAATGGTGCCTCCTTTTTTTCGGTATTTTAGTGATTTAAGCGACATTATTCACCGGAAATGTTTGAAATTTGGTATTTGAAGCTCGTAATAGATAGTACAGCCTAAGGCAGAAAATTGTATTTTGATGATTTTATCGACATTATTCACAGGAATTTTTTCAAATTTGGTATTTGGAGTTCGTGAGGATATTACAGCCTATGACAGAAAATTGTCTGTGCAGGTCCACATGCAGGTCGTCGTATTGATGCCAATATAACGGCTACAGTCGGTATTTTTAAGATTTTAACAGAATTTTTAAAGGGTTTAATTTTTTTTTGAAAATTGCGAAAAATCTTTCCAAATGGTGAAGGTTTACTTGTTTTTTCTAATAGTCAGTTTAATGAAAAATCTGAAATTTTTTCCAAAACAATTTTTTAATAATTCTTTATTCTCTTATTTCTCCTTGCAGGTATTTTGTGTCTACATAAAATTGATAGCAGTAAGTCCTCCTAAAAGTTAACACCATAAAAAATATGACGATTTGAATGTGAATATGAAGACTTAGAGAAGTGAAGAACATACTATGGTACAATTAATTCAAGGTAACTCCACTTCAGATAATAATATCCAACTATGTCTTTTTTTCTGAAATTTACTTTGTCAAATTCAATTGCAAAAACAGTTTACCATCTCTGATTTGTGATACCCAATGGATTTCTGAATATACATTTTGAAAATCAAAAAAAAAAAAAAAAAAAAAAAGAAAGAAAAGAGAAAAAAAATAGAACATAGAACATAGAAAAATAGACATAAAAAAATAGTCATCTTGGCCAAACTGTAATAAATATCCGGCTGTAATTTTTTCCAAATCCTAAAAAATTTAACCCACTGTATTTATTTATTTATTTTTTTTTTCGAATTCCCATAGAGAAACACCAATTTTAGTTTTTTGTTACTAATGTTAACACCAGAGTCATTATGGCTGCTATTTATGTAGAACTTAGACTTTAAATACTTTTCACGACAATGTTCCGGTAGCTGCCACCCTTTATACCAAACATACTACGGAAATGATTTAAACTCTCCCTCACACCGCCTAGATTTTTTTCAAAGAATTTTTTTGTGGCATTTGTTAAATTTAACAAAAGAACTCCTCTTAAATATGTATAATTCATGACAGGTCATGGTGACTAAAACTATGGGGCAAAATTGTTTTATGAAGATTTGCTGGAATTGAATGTTTTTTTTTTTTGCAACAAAGGACTTTAACTCCCACCTTAGATAAGGTAATAATTATAGTTGTTACAATTGAAAAAGGAATGCAATACAAAATATTACAATACGAGCCACGAGAGAGGCAAGAGAGATGAAGAAAGAGGGAGAGAAAGGGAGAGAGAGAGAGAGGGGAGAAATAAATATGCAATAGGTGTTTCCATGAAAAAAAAAAAAAAAAAAAAAAAAAAAACAAACGAATTAAGGGCTCATATCGACCTCCATGGCGTATGTCTTACCTTAATCTCATCCAATTTTTACAAAGGGACATCGAAACATCTTTTGAGAAAACCATGTTTTTGTACATTTTGCTATACCTTTGAGTACATTTGGTCTTCTTCAGTAACGGCACATAGCTTTCATACCGTATACTGTATACCAAAACTAATACGTTACATAGTGCTGCAGAATTATTTTTATTTTCGGATTTTTTTTTACAAGGGTCATATATATTCGAAATTTGGACTTCAGAGCCCATCTTTACGGTTTTTGAGAACATTTTGGATTTCAATCTGCAAAAATGCTACGTTTTTTTCTCTAAGAAGCAATGGCGTATTATTCATGTCAACACTAATACGCCACATGGACCTTAAACAATTAACAACTGCTGCAGAACTATTTTTATTTTCGGAATTTTTGAACAAGGGTCATATATATTTCAAATTCGGTCTTTAAAGAACATTTGTGCTCCTAGTCTGCAAAAATACTCCGTTTTTTTTTCTCCAGGAAGTCATGGCGTATTGTTCATGTCAACTCTAATACGTCACATGGACCTTTAATAATTAACAAATATAAAATGGGAGAGGATTGTAAAAAATCATATCAACCACTGGCCAGAGAAAAAGAAGGTAAAGAGCAAAAAACAGAAAATGGTGTTTTCATAGGAAATGTCGCAAACATCTGCTATGGAAAAGGGGTATATACTGACCTGGATAACATCTACTGAATTGGTAGATTTTAAGATCTCTTTTTATTGTTATCCACCCAAATGGAGAACGATTTCAGTTCTTTTTACTATAATTTATTTCACCTGACCATTTTTTCAGGGCGATTGCCAGTTAGGTCTTCCTTAGAGCTAAAACGATTCTTGTATGTTTCATTGACAATTCTTTTTGATTCAGATTGCGAATAAGCTACTTCTTCGTTGATGGCGTATTGCTTACGACAACTCTTATACCCCACATCGAACTACAATATTTATAGAATTATAAATCTGAGAGGATTGTAAAGAGAATATCAGCTATCATCCAAAGAAAGAGTCTCTTCTTCTTTCTAAAATAATATAAATGATAATATATACAGGGTGAGATGAAAAAAACTGCAAAAAAGTCAAACTCCATAATTTTTACATTTTTTTAATTTTATTAAATGAAAGCAAAACATATCGCAAATAGCATAAAATTTTAGAATAAGTTTAGATTTGTACCAATTGGAACCTTCGACACTAATAATGGCCTTCAAACGGCTAATGAAACCGTGGAAAAATGCCCAAATGTTGTTCTGTTGTATTTTTGACCATTCCCGGCGAGGCGCTTCTTTGAGGTGATCGATACTTTGGTATTTTTTAGTGCCAACCTTGCTTTCAAAAATACTCCAGACACAATAGTCCAACGGATTGGTATCCGGAGATTTTGGTGGCCATTGTGCGCTGAAAATGAAGCGAGGAACTTCATTTTGTAACCATTCTTGGGTAGCGTGTGCTGAGTGCGATGCTGCTGAGTCCTGTTGGAATGTCCAAGGTCTGCGGCCAAAATGTTTGCGTGCCCAAGGCTTTAATACACCCTCCAGAATGTTTTCGCTGTAATATTCTGCATTTATTCTGATGCCGTCGATTAATAAGAGCAGACAGCGACCATCGGCTGTTATGGCGGCCCACGCCAACACCATGTCCGGCCGTTGAGTTCTGACTTCTTTGGCAAGTAATCACGATCATTTTGTTTGTTTACAAACTGCTGGACAACGAATGTTTTTCCTTAGAAGAAAACCAAATTCGGCAGTTCACCTTTTGAGTCTATTTTCTTTCAGTTGCGGTGTAAGTTCTTGCACTTTTTGGAATTTTAATGGCTTTACCCCGAGCTCATTTTCAATATTTGCCGAATGGAATATTACGATATGTTCAGCCCACGATCCATTTTCGGCCACTGCAATGCGGGTTTCGATCAAGTCGCTTCTTTTACTTTTCGAATGATTTCTGCTGATGTTGCTGTTTTCTTCCGTCCACTTCTTTGAGGTCGGGCTACGCCGCCAGTATCACAGTAACGAGCGTTGGTACGAGACACAAAAGTATTATTCACATTTAAATGCTGGAGTGCTCTAACGATAGCCACTTGTGGGTTTGCAGTCAAATATAAAGAAAGCACTCTATCACGCTTGAATTCCATCACGAATAACTTTTTTTCTGGAAAATTCTCACCAAAATGCTTTTCCAAACTTGTAAACAATATAATGAGCTGTCACTGGAATAATTTTAACAGCTGTCGGACAAGTGGCTTAGAAATGACAGCAGTCTGAAGTTGTTTGCAGTCTTTTCATCGCACCCTCTACAAAGAGGTCTCTTTAGTTTGTGATATATTTCTCAATATTTAGGATAGAGTTTTAAAATTCGATAGAGATCTTTGGGTTACATCCGGAATTAGTGGTTCGGAAAATGGGTCATACTGGTCCACTTTTTGGAATAGGCCCCATAAAAGAGTAGCTCAGATTTCAAATTGGTTTTATGTTTCTGCCATGTTGTTATTAAATATCAACAAATTTTGACAGGATTTCCTTTTCTCAAAGTGGTCACTTATAACGTTGGGTTATCATGTATTTTAGGTTGTATTGTTACAGTTTTACTATGTGTTTTTATAGACATTTTTGTACCCAAAGGCTTTTTTAAACTAAGATATTCTGGCGTATACTTTGTGACACAACTTATACGCCACATTGTAAAAGAGTATTTTTTATTTATATTTTAAAATAAAATTTTTCCTAACCCCCCCATCTGGTCACCCATAAGTTCTGTTAGTACATACTAATATATGTATATAAGTTTGTATATTTATATGTCTAAACCGTATACAACTTATATTTATTAACTCAAAGTGGCATGGTATGCAGACATCATTTAAGGGGACTCGTTTTTTTAAAACCCAACACCCTCTCCACCTGCATAAATTCCATCAACAAAGTGTATGGTTTATCCCTTTGTTTTTGCCTTTGCTGTGGTATTCCGTTGTGAGCGGGTGTGTGTGTGATTTCGTTTGTCTCCGTGTGTGTGTTGTTGTTGGGTTCTTGTGTCATTATCTGGTTTTGCCCTAAAGCGTTTGCATTAGTTGACATGATTTTAATGGGCGGCAATTACATGTTTTTTTGTTGCCGCTGCTGTTGTTGTTGTTTTCGTTTAAAAACGATTCGACGACATGCAATACCGGCTAAATTGAAAAATGTAATAAAAAGGATATTAAAGCTTTAATATACACGATTGACGCTATTGTTTTTTTGTGTTGTTTGTTTTATTTTTTTTTGTTGTTCTTGTTTTTGTATTGGAATTTATACAATGTATGATATTGTATAGTTTGGTTTATTTTCGTTAGTTTTTTTTTTTTTTTTTTTTGGTATTTATTTCGTTATTGTCTGGTTTGTGGTATTCCAAACCTTTAGATTTGTTATAAACGAAATCGTTTTGAATAAATGTTAAAAAAAACTAAATATCCATATTGATTTGAATATTGAATGACGACATGAAAGTGGGTGCTTTGAAGTGTTTTAAAAGTCCATTGAAATATGTCATCGGAATCTACTTAAAATTTTTCAAAATACAATAGTACAATTTTTCAAGATAGCAGGTTCGAAATATATTTTTTAGGATATATAAGTTTAATATGATATGAGTTCTACAATTGTTTTGTACCAATTGGTTTCATAGAGCGTATACTTAACGACAACACTTATACCAACCAGAGTCCTAAAAATTAATTTTGATCAGAAGAAAAATTTGTTTTCAAAATTAAAATAAATTGAAAAATATTTAATTAATTAAGTAAAAAATACATACAAATTTTAAATTAATATTGAATCCACTTTTGGGGTTCTAGATAGCGGAACTCTTTTTTCTACCCTCCACCATACTATGGAGGGTATATTAACTTTGTCATTCCGTATGTAACTCCTCGAAATACTCATGTCAGACCCAATAAAGTATATATATATTCTTTAGCAGCGTAAAATTCTAAGACGATTTAGCCCTGTCCATCCGTCCGTCCGTCTGTCTGTCCGTCTGTTGTAATCACGCTACAGTCTAAACGAATTAAGATAGGAACCTAAAATTTTGCACAGATCTCTCTTTTGT